TACATACATACATACATACATACCTACATACATACCTACATACATACCTACATAAATACCTACATAAATACCTACATACCTACCTACACACACACACACACACACACACACACACACACACACGCACACACGCACACACACACACTGAGCAATTTCACAAACATGCCATTACTGGTCGCCACCGTGCAGCACCCTGTTTTTTTTTAGCTGGAGTTGTCAGGTCTTGCTCAAGGACACACTCCAGTGACCACCCATCCAAAGCTCCTGTCGCTGACACTTGCTCGTCTTTACTTTAAAGTCTAAACTCACTACTCTCTTTGCCACTGGATTAAATGGCAAGTTTTAAAATCTACAATCGATAAAAATCATTTAAGAGTCGACCTTTATTAACTTTTGTCCTGTGTCTGTGCTGAGATGCGAATCTTATTGGCAACCTATTACGTCGGACGTTCCCAGCGTGCCACCGGGGTCACTCAGCGTGTACTGTTGGTGAGCGGCTCTGGAAACGCGTGTTTTCGCCATGAATACGGAGGGGATGTTTTATCGATGATGAAAATAACGCTCATTCTTTTATAGCTTCTAATTTATAAAGTGTTACGAACACATGAATAACCCCCTTCATAAGCTGATGAGACATTAGGAGTATAGTTACGCCCATTCAAAAAACCTTTTTAGATGCTCATATGGTTACAAATGATCTGGGGTTTGAAAGGGAGTATTATTGGTCAACTTACAAATGTTTTGCTCTCAAATTGTTCTTTTTACCTGCACATTCGTATTCAAATTCATCAAATAAGTTTATTTTTATCAGGTACTATTATTTTATATAAAATCAAGCACATTTGAAAGATTTTGTATAGAAAATGGAAGTCTTGTTTCCTGGCTATGCTTTGGAGCACTTCATGTTTAAGGGAATTTTATTGGACGAATATCTAGAACTACCAACTTGGCATGTATTGAATGAGACGCATGCCTTGGTTACAAACCAACGCAGGTGGTTCTAGAAGTAGGCCACAAACGCACACAAACTCAAGCAGACAGACGCACATACACTTGAGCTGCAGGAATACGGAACCAGGTCATCACACGGATGACGCTCTGTGCGTGTGTGCTGAGCGAGGGCTGGACTGACACGGGACTGGACGGAAGGCGAGGTGTCGAAATAGGCTTATCGTGGTACTTAAACCTGGCTCCCGCTGGGTCAGGGTTAACAAAGAGGCTGTTGTCATCCTGCTGTCATTTATTGCAGTATTACGTGGTATTTTGGTTCTCTAGAGTGCGCCTTGTGGCCCAATACCTCCAATTTCGGCACTCCAGCTCCAGGTCCCTGGACCTACCCTGGGAGCACAGGGAGGAATTGTTACTGGATCCCACCCTTAGCCAGGACTTAATGCGGTCCTTTTCCGCATGATGCTTCCATCAGAGGACTCCTAGGGCATGTAATAACGTGGTAGTGCCACCTACCACCTCACCCCGTCCTGGTAAGAGCATCACCAGTATATTCAACATATTCACAGCTAACCTCCATTACTGCGGCTGTTCCCTATCCGCAACCTGGGACCCGCCGGGTCGGGGATGGTAGCCCCAGCCCGGTCCTGCTGTTATTTCAAGGTGTTTGTTAGTTGGATAACTGGTAAAACTAAACTTGAACTCTCCATTTGCAACCAACTTGATCTGCATGCACATCTAGGGTCTCCAATCTCGGGGGGGGGGGTCTTTTGCTAAGACGTCATGCGCGAAAGACAGTTTTAGCTTATTTTAAGAATGGGATGGGGTAGAGGATGTTGAAAATTAACTTTTACTGGGTTACCTATACCTAAGAATTTGCAAAGTTTGGGGTTTCCCTTACCTGACAAATGATACCGTTCCAAGGGCCATTACATTTGATGGCTGGAGTGTTCCTTCCTATAATCACAGTGTTTTTGGGTCGCGTTGGTAGCCGTAGAGGTGAGGCTACCAGACTGTAATTATAACATTGAGGGCCAGGGTGTTCGAACCTCAGCTCGGTCCGACATTGCGTCCTTTGGAAAGGCACTGGACACAATTTTCCCAACTGGCTCGGTCCTTTCGGAGATGGGCTTTAAACTGGGAGGTCTTGCCTCTTGAGTAAGTAATTATGAAAGTGTATTCAGTGTTTAAGACCATAAGCCCACATCACATCATATAAAACACTCATTTGTTAAACAAAGTTTCCATAATGAAAAGATACAGGTTGCGCACATATCTATTATCGGAGGTCAAACATTGCATATTTCGGTCATTTAGTAGTGTTGATAGGAGCACTAAACCAATACCATTTCATCATTTCACAGTGTATATATCCTTCTTCCTCGCACAGTGGCCACCCCTGGAGTCACTACTGTCTCACCTGCGCCCACTCAGGTGTCCGGAGCATCCTCGTGCATGCCCAATTTCTTCAGCTACAACTCAGGATGTTTCATGATCGTCAATCAGGACAAGACATGGCAAGAAGCGCGCTCAGCTTGCCAGTTTTTCAATGCAGAGTTGGCCTCGGTTCTCGACTTGTATGACGCTGCTAAATTGGACCTGGAACTCTACAACCACCATGTTGGATCTGCAGCTTGGATTGGTCTCTATTATGATCAGGTAAAACACAGCAAGTACTGTGGCTCGTATTTTGGAGGAGGTATTTTGGGGGTTGGGGG